AAAAAACTTAAAATATTTTCTCACTGTAATCTTCAAATGCTTGTCGCCTTGAATGTTTAATTTGTTAATGTGTTTTCTTTTGGTTTTGTTAGGTTTTTTGTACACTTGTGAGTTATCTGTCTTTATGTCTCTGAAAGGTAAAAGACAATAAACTGATTTGGGAAAAAAAAACAAAGCTGAACACACCAACCTCACTGTCAAAAATGGTGGTGGCAGCATCATGGTTTGGGCCTTATTTTTTAATTGCAGCAGGGAAGATGGTTAAAATTGATTGGAAGATAGAGTCAAATACGGGATCATTCTGGATGAAAACCTGTTTGAGTCTGCAAAAGACCAGAGACTGGGAAGAAGTTCTTTTTTCCAACGAAACAAGGATCCAAAAGATAAAACAAAATCAAAAAACATATCCAGGTGTTAAAATGGCCTATTCAAAGTCCAGACCTGAATTCAATCCACATCTATGGAAAGAACTAAAAAACGCTGTTGGAGCTTTCTCCATCCAACCTCACTGAGCTCCGGCTGTTTTGCAGGAAGAATGGGAAAAAATTTCAGTCTCTCAATGTGCAAAATTGAGAGATAGATGCCAAGCGACTTGCAGCTGTAATCGTAGCAAAAGGTGGTGCTACAAATATATTAATTCAAGGGGGCTGAATAATTTTGCACATCCATTTTTTTCGCTAAACTTTAAAATATTTAATACATATTGTTGCACTTTGTGATCAACAAGAAGTGGGCAACAATCATGAAGAACTACAATTTTATCTCTTTATGTTTGAAGCCTAAAAGTGGCAAAAGGTCAATAAGTTCAAGGGGGGCGAATTCTTCTGCAAGAAACAGAATCTGAAGCCAACTGTTTTTACACACTCAGGGAGCCTATAAGTTAGTCACCCAGTCAGTTTCAATTCTGCTTTTTACTCCACATCCTGCCTGCTGTTGGGACTGAGGTCTGGTTTCCTCTTTGTCTGCCGTTTCCTGTCTCAGCTCAATCCTAATCTGCTGAAACTCCTCTTGGAGGCATGAGCTGAGTCATTTCTGCCAACAGGAAACACTCCTATTACACTTTCGATTTGGCGCACTTCTCTTCAACCAACTGACAAAAGCAGGAAGGACAAAAACCAGAAGAAAATAATGAAAATGTACTAAAATTTAATCATTCATAAAAGCTGGAAAATCATCTGTGACAGGGTAACAAGAAGCAGTATTAGAGGTGGTTTAGTACAATATATTTTCACCCTCAAGACACAAATCAGAGCACACCCTCACCCCCCTATCTGTCTATAAAATACTAATTTCTTTACTTTTATTATGCAAAAATGGAAGTAGAATATATTATGGGGAAATATGGAAGGCTTGCAGCTTTCAATATAAAACAAAGTCACTTAGGAGAGATGTTATCAATACACATCCTTGTAAGGAGGAGCGAGTAACTTACGGACAATGATGCATCTTCATTGACATTGTTAGTGCAGAAATGTACAAGAAGACCAACATTTTTACATGGATTCCTTTACAAATATACTGTCACAATATGCCAAAGACTGTTGTTACTCATTATAGAATTCTTATTAGTTCCCTTAAATGGATTTGAATCCAAAGTTTCCTCCTTTACTTTATTTCCAGAAGAAAAGACACCTCAGAGAAAAAAGAAGAAAAAATATATATATATATTGTCATCAGGCTTGACAATACAGGAGAGGTTGATTTTCCTTGCCAGTAAAAAGCAAGGCGTTTTCTTTAAAGTATGTGCCGTCTGCTGTTTTGCAAGTGGTGTGGTTTTCTCTGTCGGACGTTTTTTTTTTTTTTTCCAAATGCTCTGGAGAGGACTTGGAATGCTGGCACCATCCACTGGGAAGCAGTTAATCATTACAAGTTTCTGCAAGTGAGAAAAACAAACAAACATCAGAAACAACGAAACAGTTTTAGGGGTGAACTACGAGCAACGTTTATGTACTTTGAACTTCATACAATTGGAATCTCAGCCGTTTAGGTTCAACCTTTGTTTGAATGTGACTCATCCAATGCTTTGCATGTTTGGTAAGTAAACAGCAGTGACAGGAAGTAAAGAACAGGTGTTGTTAATACATCTTTGGTTCATTAAACAGTTTTAGTCGCTAAATAAAATCTCTCTCTGAAAGACTTTTAGAGTAAAATGCATTCCTAACTTGATCGACATAATAGCACGAAGAAAAGCTGTGTTTCTGATTCCTTGTGGACAACTAAAAAAAAGTTAGTTCTTTATAATAAAAATGGCAATAAACAACTGATCTTAAATTTAAACCCTTTTGGGAGAGTATTTAGGTAAAATTACTTTGCTATAGAATTGGCTTCAGGATTAACGTTCCTCATTTAAGAATTAGTTGAATGAAATAAGTGATTATATAATAAGAAGGTTATTTCTATTTTTAGTGGTTTTTTTTGGAGCATAAGGATTTGTTAAGAAATTTGTTAATAAATTAATTGAGCAAGTAACAGAAGCTAAGCTTCTTGGTGTCTATTTGGATAATAAACTGTCTTGGCAAAGCTTTAGCTATATTGAGAAGATGTAGCAAATTTTTGCTTATAGTAAGAACATATAGTAAGAACATAAATAATTTCTCAACTTGACTACTGACTACTGTCAAACAATATGGTCAAATACAAAAAGAAAAGATTTAGAGAAACTTCAAATAATGCAGAATAAAGCTGCCCGTGTAGCATTAGATTGTTTTCACAGGACCAGTATAAATTAACCTGACT